AAATCACAAATAGAAAAATCACAAATAGAAAAATCACAAATAGAAAAATCACAAAAATAAACTAATTAAAAATTTTAACCAATACAGAAAGAGCCACGATTAAAAACCCTCCTTGATTTACAGTGAAATCATCATAAAAATGGAATAAAACCAGCAATAAGGTGTCCAGATGCAACAGAACAACAAAACCACCCAAAGCAACCAAAAATACCCATTTCACTCTTTTACCACCCGATTTTGGGGAGGAAATGAACCATAAATGACTAAAACTGAGCTGAGAAATGCCAATAAACAACATAAAAGCCTCTTCCAACCCCTGATATTTCAAACCAAGGCTTTGGGGAGAGAGAGAGAGGGAAAAGCAGAACTACCTCTTTCCTTCTCCTTTTCTCCTGTGGTGCCTCAAGGCCTTCAGGAAAAGCTTCCTTTTGAGGAAAAACCACATCTTAATTCCCAAAGAATTCCAACTGCAGAGCTCGGCCCCCGGCAAACGGCGACTGTGGCCCCCGAGAGCACCAAAACTCCCCTTTTGTCCCAGACAGATCAATAATTCCCTTTTTTCACAGGAGCAAATCGACGCTGTCCCACTGCCAGATGGGCCAAAAAAGCAGCCAGGGGGTTATTCCACATGAATTCCCACATCCCAGCTATTTATAACTCCGGGAAGCGACGGATTCCTGTAGAAAAGGGAACTTTCCGAGTGGGAAAAATGGAGTTGCCACGAGCAAAGTGCTTCCTGTTAATACTTCTTTAGATCAGCAAATGAACCAAAAAAAATTAAAAATAACGTGTTCATCTGATAAAATAATCGGGTGACTCTCTGAACTGCTCTGTTTAAGGCTGGGATTTAGGCAGATTTAACAGTCTGGGATCAGTTCCTATTTGAGTAAAGCCAAGTTGCTCTTCCCAAACACTTTTATTGCCATTAAATGAGGAATTAACATTAGGATACATGTGGACACTAAAATAACCTGCCCAAAAATACTGCAAAATAGCATTAAATAGCATAAACCAGCTATTAATGGGCTGTTTATGCATTTTATGAAAACCCGATTATTCTAAATTTAATTACAAATTACACTTTCTATTTAACACTCGGGCACAGAGAAAAAGGACTAATTGGGGTAAGACAATTAAAACACTTCCCTGGATACGCAGGAGGTTCCACAGCAAGGCAGAGGACGAGATAATAATAATAATCTGAGACTCCAAACTGCAGGTAATTGACCCCTCGGGAGCCCCATCCATTAAGGACCCGGGGCTTGTTTTAGGGTGAAACTTGCTGAAATGTGGACTCCAACCCTGGGCACCTGGAGAACTGTACCCCTGAATAACTGTACCCCTGAATAACTGGGCACCTGGATAACTGGGCACCTGGATACCTGGGCACCTGGATACCCGTGTCTCCCTGTCCCCGGGCTCCCGCGCACGCCGTTCCCGGTATCGCCGTGTCCCGGTACCGCAGAGCCCCCGGCGGCCCCCGCAGCACCCACGCCCGGGGCTCGCCCGGCCGCTCCCGCTGTGCCCGCCCCATTCTCCCGGGCCCGCTCCATGCCCCGTTATCCCCCTCTCACCGGCTCTCCCGGTTCCTCGTCCCGCTGTCCCGTCCCGGAGCCGCGGCCCGGGAGCGGCCCCGGCCGGGTGATCCCGCCGGCTCTTACGGCACTGCCGCAAAGCGCGGCCGCCGCGCCTCACGGCGGCCGGGTCACCATGGCAACCGCCGGACCGCCCTCAGCGCGCCCAGGGAGCGGGGAATTACTCACTTGATTAGTTAATTAACGATTGCTGAAGGGGCTGGAGCAGAGTCTGTCGTTCTGAGCAGGGAAAGCGCCGTTATGAGGCACCCTGAAGCGACATTTACGTGTTATTAGGTAAATAATAACGTTATTATGCCTGTATTAAAAAAAAAAAAAACAGAGAAGCCTCCCCCCGTCACCAAAAAAAAAAAAAAAAAGCAGTGAATAACAAATTACGAAAATTTTTATGTAGGCAGAGCTTCCCTCTTATAGCTCCCCGCTCGTGCCCTAAACTAAATTGGCCGGCGCGCCCCTCAGCTGCCTGTAACCAAAATGGCGGAAGCAGCGTCGCTCCCGCCCCTCTCCGCCCCTACCCAACATGGCGGCCGGCGGATAATCCGCCCCCTCTTCCCCGCCCCAAGACGGCGGCACCGCCCCTACACAAAATGGCGCCGGTGGCGTCATTCGTCACTCTCTGCCCTGCCCTAAGATGGCGGCGCCGCCCCTTCCCAAAATGGCGCCGGTAGCGTCACCCGTCCCTGTCTCAGCAGGATGTCGAGCGGCCCCGAGGTCCCCCTTTCTCCTGTGGGGATAGAAAGGATCCCCAGGCGTCTGCAGGCACGAGGGACTCGTCCAACTGGGATTTTTCTCCAGCCCATGGTAAGATGGATTTTCAGGGTCCCACGGATCACGGGCCAGCTCTCCTGCTAGAGTTTTTGGGTGCTGGATTGGAACCCAAAGAGCAAACTTAGTCAGGTCTGTTCTGGAGTGTGTTACACTTGTGCAAAGTTCCTTCCTTCTGTTTCTTTTCTGTTCTGGAAAGCACAGTCTGGGGGTCCCGGGCCCTTCCTATGAAATGTTGCCATGGAAATCATTTTGTACTGAGAGGGGAAAGGAGCTGTCTGTTGGAGGTCAGATGTCCACGATAAAAGCTCGATGTTTTTTCAGTCAGCGAGCTCTTAAAATCTCTTAGTGTGTGGGAATGCCTGGCTTCTAAAACTCACCAGCTGAGTCTGAGAGGCTTCTTTGCAGAGCTGATTTCAGGCAGCAGAATTGGCCCCCAGCAGGGACTCTGTGCCTGCTCTCCCGTGGCTCCAAGGGATCTCTGGGCCTTCACGCCGGCACCGAGATTTTCTCGGGAAGGGCCTCAGATCCCCGGAGCGGTCTGGGACACAGGCAAGATCCCCCTGCCTTTAGAAATGAGGCCTTCTTGTGGCTTCCTACCCGTCCACGTTGGGTGGGGTATTATTTGGTGTTTGGGATCTTAATCTGAGAGTCCAGACTCAGAGGTTTCTTTGGCCTTGGGAACAGGTCTTTGGTTTCCTTTGTGTTCTGGGTCCTTGAAGTTCCAAAGAAGGACTCTTGAAATGCCTTTTGGGCTGTCTACTGAAAGCTTGGGACCAAATTGGGCCCCCTGGAGGGACAGTGCTGTTGGTGCCCCCCGGGTTGGGGCACCCCGAGGACTCCAGCGCACACTGAAAGGATTATTCGGGGAGATCCTTTCTCTGCAAGGTGTGTGTTCCAGTCCCCACCGTTTGGTTTGCACGTGTCCTGGTCAGACACAGGTCCAACAAGGGCAGGTGATGGTCCCAGCTATAGTTATGAGAAAAATAGTTTAAAGAGAGCCACAAAAGCAGGAAATCATCCCGGAGGCTCTTGGCAAACGAAGTTTCCTGAGTTACTTGTGGAAGAAGGATAGTGAGAACCTTTCTAGCGCTGGCAGATCCTTTGAATAGATAGCCTTGAGTGTGTCCTCGTTGCACTCTGGGAGCTGATTGCCAGGGCACCCGGCGGGCTGGGATGATTCCAGAGCAGCTGCAGTTGTTCCTGTCGTGTGGGCCAGTGGAATTCCAGGAAAAT